GAATAGAGACATTGCGAAAGAGTGAAATGACAAGTTTTGGAATTCTGCTGCGTTTCTTTCCAGAGGAAAACAGCGACAACTCTGTTCCTATGGAAGGTGGACCCGGACCGGTTATACTACCAGGAGAAGGTAAGGCAAGTGATTCATTATGAGGCGAGGAAGACCAACTGGTGGATGACAGCTACGTGTCTTTAATGTCTACGTGTTTAGGGACGAGCAGTAATAACCCTGTGCCCGTTGTAGGTGGACCCGGACCAGTAATACTTCCAGGAGAAGGTGACGCAAACTTTCGCAGACGGCGGGCGACCACGAGTGGCCTGGGAGGGCGGCGTGCAGTTTTGATGAACCTCTCAGAAGGTCACTGGTGAACTTGACCCTTCATCGCTCCACGGTTTGGTCAGTACTGCATCTTATGCCCATCCGCGATGACATTGTCAAGACTACGCCACCTCCCAGCCACTGATCACTACCTACAAATGTGTACTGGAGGTTGCATTTTACTGCGCTGCTCTTTTCAGAAACCAGTGGTGACAACTCCATTCCTACGGAAGGTGGACCCGGACCAGTTATACTTCCAGGGAAGGTAGTTAAAATAATTAGCAGAAAGGCGTGAGGAACATAAGCTTTTGAGTATGCCTGTTCAGGGACGAGCAGTAGCAACCCTGTGCCCGTTGTAGATGGACCCGGACCAGTCATAGTCCCAGGAGAAGGTAATCCATGTGACACATGGAGACATGACGAGAAGGGGAACTGATGGATTTCGGAATTCTGGCTTGCGTTTCTTTGCAGAGACGAGCAGCGACAATTCTGCGCCTTTGCCTGTCGACGGACCCGGCGCCAGTTTATACTTCCGGGCGAAGGTAACGCCAATCATTGATGAAGACGAACTTATGAGATACAGGATTGACTGGTTTAGAAACGGCTGATTGACTCCGTTTTTCTTTTCAGAAACTACTAACGACAACTCTATTCCTATAGAAGGTGGACCCGGACCAGTCATACTTCCGGGAGAAGGTAGACGAATGTTTCTGTAGAGTGAGAAGGGGATCCATCGAGACATTTTGATTGGTGAATTGGTGGTTTCTGGGATTTTGCCTGCGTTTCTTTTAAGATGGGAAGGCGATTATGCAGCTACTGGAAGGATGGATCTGGAAACAGCATACTGTCAGTGGTCAAGGCGTGAAAGGTCACCTTCAGAATAGAATAGCTGCAAAGTTGAGATGAAAACCTTTGATTTTCAGAAAAAATCAGCGGTAGTTGACGACAACAGAAAGCGAATGAACTCGCTCCTAAATTCCAGGTATAGGCTCTATGATGAGGCTACTAAAATATAGTTATGTAACTGTGAAGGGAGCTGTTTGTTGTAGAGCATCACTTTTAACATTTTTCCTTTGAAGGATCGAGCGGGTCTTTGGTGTGCTGTGATATCTTAACTCTGATACAAAGAAAATATGTATGCATGCAAATTCCGTGCAAGAATTTATTGGAAGTTCTGAATAAAAATTGATTCTCGCTTCAGTGGCTCATATTTTTACAAAAGTTTTTAATCTATAGCAGCTTTTTCTCGTCACAATTCATGACATACCCTCCCCTTCAAAAGCCAGAAATTGTGCTGTGCAGACCATACACCAAAAGTGACGACGGCCTCAAAGTAAATCTGGTTAGTAGTGGTTCATAGTGATAGCTGATTTTTAGTAAATGATAGTTGTAATTACTGTCAACTGATCGAATACAACTGTAACAGGTTAATCATTTCATTGGCAAAAACATTTGCATTTTCTGGAGGCCGTCGTCACTTGTGGTGTATGGTCTGCACCCGACACTTTCTGGCTTTTTGAAGGGGAGGGTTATGTACCAAAACAAAACTGCTTTCCCAATTTTGGGGCAGAAGAATTTCGAAGTGTTGGAAGTTGTTGTGTGAGTTGGAATAAAGTTAGAGATTGCACTTTCGAAATCTGAGTAATCCTTGAATTCTTTCAAGGATTACTTCATTTCACGTAGATGATGCTCAAGGGCACAGAAGAGCTGATGCTGGGATGCAGCTGGGACTGTACATTTTGAAGATTCGAGAAGTCCGCTTCAAGCACCGTTCGTTTGAGGCCGTCTCTCCGCTAGGTGCAGCTTCCACCACCAGATTCTCCTTCCCGCTCTTATCCTTGCCTTCTTGGGGTGGTATATGGCAATGCCTGGCAGGAGGGATGTGTGTTGAGGAGCCAGTTCGCTGCCAGGGAGTACCTTGACGCCCCTCGCAGTTATGAGTGATAATCTTCTTATGAGCACATGATCGATATTCGGTGTGTCTCCCTCCACGGCTATGGAGTACTTTCGGACTCTCGCTTTTCGCCGAAAACGCTCCGTAGATTGCCATAACGTGGCTGTAGTCACGTCTGAAAGCCCTCCATGGGCTCCATCCCCTCCATAATTCCATCTACCTACGTGAATCCTTTCTTGGCCTCTTCTGCCACCGCCGACTTTCAGATCACCTGCTGCAGTGAAGAAATCGCCTTCTGAAATGATCTAGTGACATCGTTGAGGCTATTATAGAATCCGCCGCTCTCACTCTCGAGACCATCCGGCCGGAAAGGATGCTCCAGTTTCCCTTCTTCATGTCAATCCTAACAAGCCATGATCTGATCCCCCCGATCTCATGATCCTGTTAACAGCACACAGCAGATACATAGTCTTTGAACGACTACGTCACCGCTATGGCCACGCCGTTCCGTGTCTTCTCCATTTGTAGTAGAGTTTGACGCCTTCTCCAAATTTCCTGGACTTGGCACCTTTCCATCGCGCTGAATTCTCGAAGAGGAGAGGCACTTGTACTATACTCTTGCGCGTCATGAAAACAGCCACTTTTTGGGATTTTCCATGAGCGATCCTTAGCTGAGAGTCACAATTCAAACTAACTTCTTTAGCGAAGGCCCTTCACTTCGTATAACTTTCCGATGAACGAACCACGGATGCCGCAATTCTGAGAATTCTACAATAACACTGATTCTTTTCGGCGGGTTTTGGAAGTATTTTTTGTGACGGCAGTTCGTTGCCGCGCATGTCAACTTGGGGCCTAAACTATTTTTTTCGTTTCCCGGAGGCGCATAGTGAAGGCGTCGCGCCGGGCATTAACACACGCAGCTCTCAGAACGGTTTGCTGCAACTACAACTTAAGCATTGTCGGCTACATTGACAACCATCTTTTGTCTAATAAAAGCAGAGCCGGCGCTGTTAAAAAGATTTGCATTCAGGAACGACATTTATTCTGCAACAGCCTAGATTTAAACCATTCGCGACCGCGCGGGATTGCGCAATGGCAGTACAGTCAGGAAATTTTTGTTCAATAAAATTTGAGTGGACGGAGATTTCCTCTACCCAGGGCTGACGTAGATGAATGAGGGTATGAGGATTATTTTCACGGAAGAAAATAATCCAAATCCCATTTGAAACGCGGTAGCCAACGGTGGATGCCATTGCTCGAGTGAGATCTTTGTCAGCCACCGGTGGCTGACATTGTCACGAATGGGTTAATAAGGCCCACCCCTAATTATGCTCCGCAGCGACATTAACACTTTGACGACATCGTGCGTTTTGGGGTTTTGCACCGCGTGGGACAAGGGCGCTTTTGCGAGCGCGGCCGTCACACCTCACACCCGTAAATTTCGAACGATAACCTTGGGAAGCTTCAAAGGTACGAAACCATTTCAGCAATATTCAATGCGTAGAAAGTAATCGAAGATATAGTAGAAATTCCGATCAAAAAACGTGAAATGGTAAAGAAAATTGGAATTTAAGTCCTTTTCTCTGTAGTGGATGCCAAAACTATTTTCGATGTGGATGTGTCGAGTAGAACATATATTTTTCTATCCCTTTAAGTTTGTATTTACTTTCACTACCTTTCTCACTGACATGTTCATCAGAATAGGAAGAAAACGAAAACGATGAACCGAGCTGCCAATTCCGCTGTGCTTAAAAAACTTCTGCTAAACTGGAGCATATTTGATCATACCGTGACCCATGTCGTTTACAGTTATGTTATGTTGTAATCCATAGAATAGAGGCAAGCAAATTGGGAAGAATCCCCGCATACGCTAGAAAAAGGGATGACAAGGGTGAGACGCGCAACCGCGTCTCAATGTCCAACGAGGTGCGCAAAGTGAGACGCGGAAAGTGCACGAAGTCGTTCCAGTTGACATTTTGGACCGCTGCTGTACGTTCTAGGTACCATGCGCAGAGTGTATTCTTATACCATTTTCTTTGAGAGTGGACATCTTTCAAACCAAAGTTGGCACTTCCCGAAAAAAAAACGGTAGATATTTTCAAGTCGATCTCAATTTTTTTTACACTTGACCTTAGACGGTTTACAATTCCACTCAAAATTTTCCAAACGACCGTAAAAGTTCTTCGATACAAAACTGAGCCGAATATTTATCGAAGTTTGTTTCTGGCTGTGGATTTGCCCAGAAAGTTGCCGCTAGAGGCAGCATGAGCCATAAAGCATGGATATCTCATTCGTTCAGCGCTAAAACGCTTGGCCACCACATCGCAGGGGCCGGTGTCCAAAGGTGTCAGAACACTTGCGTCACCAAATTTGCTGGGAACTTTTCGTCAGAAGTACTCAGATCCGCAGAGCATGAATATCACGTTACTTTGCGAGTGAGCTTGTAACCCGTGCTAATGCTAAACTGACGTGACAGCGTCGGCGCCTGTGGTGCGAGCGCCAGGCATCTTCGTGATAAGTGATGTGATTTTCGTGTGTTACGGGTTGAAGAATTCGAGGAGGTAATTTTCTAGCCAAAGCTCCGGTAATGGACGAATTGAAATCCGGCTTGGCTGTGACGGTGAGGGGCAGTAAAAGGTGAATAGTGCAGAGTAAACAACATAGAGGAGAAGATATGGGATTGCAGATGGAATCATCACAAAGATAAACAACCAATCCACTTTGTTAACCCTTTGACTACTGGTGGGACACATGTGTCCCACTTGGTAGTCAAAGACACTACCACAGTTTTGGCACTTATTGAGATCGGAGGGCCCGCTTTATGGCGGAATTGTGCACAACTAGAAACTTGGTAATTCTTACTCTGTCAGCGAAGTATCAGAAGTCTAAGCGAGTTACGCTGGATAAGTTAAGCAAGTCGTTCCACAGGTCACTGGGCAGTGTGCACAGCTCCCGAAAAGGTAGTTTTCGAGTCTCACACTCTTTGTGTTAATGGTTCTAATATTTCCCTCAATTATTGTGAAACAGGTGAAACATAAGCAAACCGATGACGGATGGAGGTTTTTATCGGCCGCAAGCCAGTTAGAGGACGACAGCGTTTTACGACTGCGTTGGAAATTCCAACCTCCGGAGTTTTGTCAGTTCGTTTGATGCGGAAGTGGTAGTAGAACACTCCTATGATGACGCAGCTTTCGAGCATAAAAACCAGCGAAAATTCGTTAGAGGAGAAGCAGCCGGTGGGCGCAGCCTGTAGGCAGGGGAGCAGCACTTCTACAAAGTGCGGCTTGCAATTCTTTTCAAGTGCGTTCCCAACCGGACATTGCCTTGTTCCACGAATGAGATGTGATAAATGTGTATTTGTTGAATGGTATTTGAACTGTTCAAAAATGCTCATTCGAGCGGAGATGGTGTGGTGACAGGAGG